GGGGGGGGTCATGACCCCCATGACCCCCTCCCCCTGGATCCGCCCTTGGTTGTACCTCTTGGAAACTGTAGCAAATAACAGAAATAATTACCTAATCCTATCTTAGCCCTGGTTTTCCGACTAGCTTCAGACTCCTTCGGGTTTTGGGGCCCCAATGTCGTCAGACAGAGACCGTCCAGCCCATAAGAAACGTTTCCGAACACGTTAACATGTTGATGTTCCACCGGAAACAGGGGGCCCACTCTCTCTTGCAACTCCCAGTAGGCCAATTTGCACCATTTTTGCCGATTGGACATCGAAGAATCTGAAACAATTCAACCCCAGCTATAGTTTGCGAGCGATTTTCTYTAAAGTGTGTTTTCCAAATGAAACCAAAGTGGGAAGTTTGCGCGTTTAAGCGTGGCAACGTCGCCAACCACTTGTTAATGTAGCACGTCACATGGGGACAGATCCGGCGGCGGGAACGGCCTAGTAAGGTCGCGACGATATGGTGGCGCCGGAAATCCACGGATTATTGTTCCACGCTTTTTTTATTTGGCGCAGTCATCGCCGCGATAATACTTAGAACATGCACCGCCTTTTCCACTAATTGTGCATAAGGTGAAGTCATAAAGCCGGCGCCGCCGATATTGTAAATTTGTCGCGCGACTTTAATCCGGACAGAGACCCATAAAACGCCATTAGATTGGGGATTTTAATTAATTATTAAGGATTAAGGGGGCATTCCAGTGAAATGGACGGTCCTCAGGTGTTGGCCGACAACGTCTTCACGTTGTCGACCAACACTATTCTATGTCTTCACATAGAATAATAAGCCGCATTATCAGTAATTCGCAAGTCGCCGGTAATTGGATGCGCTTCCTCCAACCAGTACACGATCTACGTGCATGCTATCACGTATGCGAAAAAAAGCGGAAAAGCAGCAGGAAACTAACCCAACCAGGCCAAAAGAGTGCTAAAAGGCTGCACACGCTTTGGGTAAAGAGCTTGCTGTAAGGCGCCAGCCATTTTTTCTAAACCTTTCAGGTTGCCCAATGAAAAACAGTGTTATTTTTATAGTTAAATGAAACAAAACCCAATGGGTCGATCAAGATATTTTGAAGAACCGGAACTAAACGCGTTAAGCCGAGCGAAAGAATGTCTGGATTTCCGCTTGCGTCGAAACTGCAATGCCGCAAAAACAGAGGCAGATTCAAAACTCAGCATTCCGCAACATGACCATTACAACCCATACCATCTGAGCTTATTAGATTAACGACGATATATTATGTGTATTGGAATTCGATATCGATTGCCGAAACTTATTTATAGGAGACCTTGCCTAAATCAAGGATATCGCTTATCTCGGTAGCGTTTGCAATCACAAAATAATTGTGTCAGTATGATAAAAAAATTCAATTATGAACGGCAGAATGTAGTTTTTTTTCAATTGTACAGCGGCATGCTGGCTCATATTGCGGCTACAATTATACTTGAACTAGGCACAGGTGATGCAAAGTCAAGCTAAAGCCGCCGGAAAAGCCGATTTTCCACACGGAATGGGTGCGATCTGACAATTTACGATGATCTCAATTGATAACGCTAAGTTGGAAGTAAACAATGCCATCGGATTAAGTCAAATTTGTGCTTGTTCATAAACTTATTAAAACTTGATTTCAATTCACTTAGAGTGACGTAACGAAGATTAAAAGGATGATGAATACTACATCTGTACATCAACCGCACTTTGAACTAGTAGGTGGGTGCAGAAAATGGGTGCTTGAACTTTTTCTGAAAAAATGAGTGCACTTAACAAGATCCAGAAACCGACCAATCAAAACGGGTTGAATTGAATCTATTGTCGTGGCAAAAATATTGTTCTAAACGTAACACTGATCTCCGTAAAGGTGAGTTTTCTTGGCTCGCTTTCAAAGATCGTATACGCGCCTCCAAGATAATACCACAAACCTAATAGCACAGTTCCGAGAATTCAATTGATGTGACAACCTTTTATTAATTGCCCGCCATTATTCTAAATTCCTTTCTACTTTTCCGCGCGTTGTTTGCAACAATATCTTGAAGACTAATTAATAATTTGATTGCTTTCTGGGAACGTTGATTTCTTCTCTATTTCCATTTTTTTTGTTCGACTTTTGCCTGTTAACAAATTGCCGCAAACGAGAAATACTTTTAGGTTCAATAACCAGACGAATCGCGCTTGGTTAGTTGAACTTTTTCTTAATGATTGCGGATTGAATCTAATTGAAACTGTTTATCTAGTCACTAGTTCTAAAACAACAAACAGATGGGCGGTGGAGTTTCGTATTTTTTAAATTCCATTGCGAATTTTTAAAATCCGTGTACCCACCGGCATTAGGGGTTTAATTTGCGCTGGATAAAGAGGAAATGGTTATTTTTTTTCTAAAGCCTGTGAAAGTGTTTCTTAGGACGTAGTACGAATTGACAGATCTCCAACCAATAGAAACACTTTCGTATCATCGTACCATCGTATAAAAGGATGCATCGGACACAGGCTTAAGTCACCAGTTTGAAGCAATAATCGCTAAAGCCCAATTTATGTATTTTTTTGATTTTGACTTTATTGGCGAATGTCCAACTTCGATCTGTTCCAGTGTTCCAGAGTCGAAAATTTTTAACCAAAAGCGGGCATTTTTGCGACCATTTCTGGTTTTGAGCGCAGTTTCAAACAATTCCAGAAATTATACGAAAGCTTAGAATCTATTGAAGCCTTATAATTGCTCTGGTTTGCCAGTTGTGTGTTTGAAACCGATAGCGCGAAGATTTCTGGACCGAAACGCAATTTCGAAAAATTGCAGAAACTGACCGAATGATCACAATAGGATCAAAATTGCACACTTAATGCCCAAGGCTTTAATTGTTTTGCAAATGTCCAAAATCACAGCCTAATGCGGTTTGGAAGTTGCAAATTTTTTAAGTACAAAGGCGCTCAATAGTCAACCGCCCATAGATGTGCTGCTCACAACACTTTCCAAAATGTATGTTCGTAATTCCGTCAGATCCGACTTGCTAGAGCTAATCAACGCAATTACTTCGGTGTTTTCACGAGTTTTTGGGCCCAGAAAGACTGGAGTTAATAGGGTGTTTTCACTTTTTTTTTAATGTTGATATATAGAAAGTAGTTGGCAAACATTGCACTGATATAATTTTTTTGTAAGAAAAGTCTCGACTTTTTGACTCAAATATTTTCCGCCTAAAACGCCGAATCCGTATCGTCGGTTGCCTATCCCGATTGTGACGTAGCAGGTCATATCAACAAAGTGTCTCGTGTTTATTTTGTTCTTTTCGCACCTTTGTTTTATTATTTAAGAATTATTCAATTATTTATTTAAGAATACCTCAATAAGTGCTCCAAACAAACTCTTTCAAACCGTTCCCCATGTTTATGCACGTAAAGTTTTCTGGTTCAAAGCAGCTAGACGTGATGTTCCTAAATCAAAATCAATGTTTTTTTTGTTGCGAGGATCATTTTAATGAAAGTACGAACAGGAAGCTAATGATGAGGCAGATAGAATATGCGTTCGATCGTACTCTGTGTTCTGGGCAAATTCTACCTTGTACAGTGCACAAAGAACCCGCGCGTGTCAATTCCACATATCCGATATCACCATATTGTTCTCGTTATGCCCAAAACACAAATTCAAGAGTTCATTTTACTTTTAAAGCAGCCATGTGTATAAGTTAGGTTAAGTTGAATAAGTGAAATTCTATTCAGATTAGTATATAAAGGAGAGTAACTAATAATGAATTGACGGTTTTTTCTTACGCTGCTGCTTTGAGACCCTCAAATTCGGCTGAATTAAGGCGTTCGTCGTTTTAATAAAATTTGGTAAGCATAAAAATATGCACATGCTAAATTGTTTGTTGACGCTTTAAGGAATCCTTCTGAAGCGATTTTTCAGTTCATCACAAACTATAAATTATTTAAATCCACAAAATAATTAATGAAACACAACGACACAACTAAATACTACAGAACGTAAACAATCCGCCATTTATATGACCAGAGACGTCACAACCACTAGGATTGCGTTTTAGAGATTCATGAATAATTTGAATTTGTTTATTAAATAATTAACAAAATAGCAAAAGTTAGATAGTATAAACTTATTGAACGTTTCACATATATATATATCACCATAGAATAATGTTCAGTTTGTAGGAATTGTTGATACAATGAAAACACCCTATTGCATGAGCTCGAAACACAATAGTTGAATTTTAAGCGAAAAATTGGCCACTGCTTTCTTGCGGTAAACATCCCGATTCCTGGTAGTCCGACGGCCGGGTTGCCAATCGGTAAAATTAGCGATTGGGTCATTCAACGACGCCGCCGACGTCCATCGTGGCGCCTGGCGATTGATGGAATCCGCCACGTCGAATTTTTTGCCGAATTTTCAGGAGGTCGGAACCATGTACTGACATTTTTCGTTTGCTCGATAGTCCAAAGATTACACACGCCCCG